CACAGTACAAACCATGATACTTTGTAGATTCAATAGATCACATATGTATTAGAAAACAAGAAATGAAATTCTGAAGATTTAAGTAAATGAATGATTTGTAAAACTGCTGTAATTAAAAAGGTTACAACCCCACGAGATGGACTTGAACCAGTGTCCAGTCTACAAAGAGGAGGGTCAACACAGAGGAATCATTTCCTCCATGCTTCCAAGCAAAGCCAGCCATGGTTGAGTAGGACCTTTGACTTATCTTCACAGACAGAACTGGTAAAAGAAAGGAGTCAGGGGCTCCTCCCAAGCCCATGTGACCCCTGAGGAACAGATCCTCAAACGACCTTAAGAGTAAAAATAAATTGGTTTATCTGCGCCAACTGTATAGCCTTAAACACCCGAAAGGAAAGTATAACCAAAGATTAAAGGGGCCAATATAATTTTTTAAGAGTCCATGTGTATAGCTAAAGGCTACATAACAGGAACAATGCCAAGTAGGAGATACCTTCTTTTGAGTTGTTGGCCAGGGTGGCCCAAGGACTCCCAGATAGTAACCCAGCATAGAACTGGGAAAATGAGCAGCACACCCCAATCTTATCTAAAGGAATATTGACAACCGATTGCTGCTAGATGAGGAACAGCTGACCTTCTTAAAACAGAGACCTCTAGATAGGCTAACTACATTCACCAGATGGACAAGCAGTGGGAAATGGCTGGCGGGGGCGGGGGTTGTCAACAACATAGCAGACAGTAGCAGGGATAATATAGTATAAGGGCTCTGGTTAGGGAAGGGAGGCTATGGGAGGGTGCCATCTGGGAAGTGGGTGTATAGTTGAATAAGATGGTTTGGGATGTTCTGTGTGATACACACACACACACACACAGACACACACAAAATCAACAAATTAAAAAAATGAATTATATTTAAGGAGAAAGTATAAAAATTTATGTCATGTTAATTAGTAGAGGTGATAAACATTACCACTGAAATCTATCTGATGACTTTATAGACATACACAGGTGCCAAGGATCTGAGTGCAACCAATTATGACTAATAATCAGATACATATAGATGAGAGAGATTCATGTGCCAATATCTCAGTGTTATTAGCAAACACAGTGAGTCTTTCTGTAAGAAACAACATCTTACAGGGCTTATACTGAATTCAATATTGTATAACTGTATTCAACAGTGAATCTAAAAATTTTATAGCCATTTTTGAAAAAGATGTATCTTTGCTATGGAAACTGTTATTGAGTATGTTAAAGCTGTAATGAAATGCTTCTTCTAAAAAAATAACTAAATGAACAACAGCCAGCTTTGAAAAAAGAAAATAAAAGATCGCAAGCACTATATTTATCTCTTTGCTGTTTTAAGAGGAAATGTTCTCAGTCTTCCCCCATTTAGCAGAATGTTTGCCATTTATTATCTTTATTATGTTGAGGTATGGTCCTTCTATTCCTGGGTTCTTCCAGAGATTTTATAATGAAGGATGTTGAACTTTATCGAATGCTTTTTCTGCATCTGTTGAGATGGCCATGTGATATTTATCTTTGGTTTTATTAGTGTGCATTACTACATTTATTGGTTTGCTTATGTTGAATACCATTGTTGCCCTGAAATTAAACCAACTTGATCATAGTGAAAAAAAAAAGGCTACAACCGAGATATATTCTGCTTAATGGTGAATTATACTGCATCCCATAGTATGTTACTTGGAATTCAGTCTTATAACAGGTCTGAAAAGAATGAAAGAAATATCTACTATAAAAAGCTAATTGTACAGTTTATTTTATTTAACTCAAAATTTTTGTTTCCAACATGTAATCAATATAAAAATCAAAATGAGGATGTTGGGAAGCCAGTGCTTGACCTTTGTGTTCCCACATCTCACTCACAGCAGGATTCAGTTGAGACCAGACCCATGTCAAGCACTTAGTTGAACATGTAGCACATTACTACACTGCATAGCACAAATGGAAACATTAGCAATGATTAGTTGGATAAAGCAGGGTTCATTTGGAGATTTTCTAGTAGTTTTTACCATGACTAAAGGCTTTTACTTCTTTAAACTCAAGTAGGGGAATACTTTTGTAGATTTGGGGGATGTTATACTTCTTTTTTTGACTGGATTTAAAAGAGACAAATTAATTGAAAGGTGTCAAATTACATTCTCCTTTAGATCAACTAATGCAAAGAAATTGATGGAAAGTTCTCCTTTGTCTTGTCTAACAAGTTAAGAAAGTCAGTGGGTTTGTGACAAGTAGTTAGGCTCATCTGCCTGTTTCAAGCTGACTTGAAACCATGCACACATTCCATGAAACTACTTTTCAGTTTTTAAAGTTTTTAACCGATTCCTCCTGCTGGTACAGTGTCTTCAACTTCATCACATTTCTAAATATGTGATCATGTGACAGTGAAGATTTCATGTCCTGAAGGCATTATACCAATTCTCCCCAAATGCTTCTATTTCAAATACAAAGTAGTTTGATTCACACTTCCAATTTTGGATCCACTAAAGCCATTTTGGGGGAGAAGAAACAAGAAGCCTGCTGTTCAGTTTTTTTTTTTTTTTTTCCTTTTCCACAAATTTTCTTTACTGAAAGCTTGCATGTTTCTTGCTAAGTTTCCAAAACACATTTAATTCCCATTAGAAATGGAGTAACTATGGCATGCTCTGTAAGTAGAAACCACAAGCAACTGATTTAAAATGAAAGATGAATGCCTAGGAAATCATGAGGCTTCTGAGTACAAAGTACTATGCCAAAAAAAATGGGGACAGGATGGATGGGGAATGGAAAATCCAACACAACATATTCTTTGCAACTTCATGGCTTTATTCCTGGGTTCTGGATCTCAGATAAGCCTGCTGAGCTGGATAATTCTTGCTGTGAGAGCTGCTCTTTGCAATGTGGAATGTTGAAAAGCATTTCCCACTTCTACCCGCTGGTAATTACCTTCCCCAAACTCAGTTAAAATGTGGGATGTCAAAGTCATCTCCAGTCATTGCCAAATGTTTCCTGGGAAACTAGATTGTCTTCAATTGAGAACCAATGCTATATTCAAAGCCAGTAATTAGATATTTAAAAATATACTATGAACTCTAGTAGCAGGGTCTAAATAATTAGTTCATTAATATTATAAGTAAAATGTTCTTTTTCTAAGCACTTATAACCTTGGGAAAAGACATTAGATCTACAAGGTATTGTCTTGTGTCCTGCCTCTTTAATCTTAATGGGTTCATTTTACCATCTTTTCTCATTTGAAGGGTTTTAAAAAAACTTAATTTTACCTAGACTTGGTGTGCACATGAGAATGTCAGCTTTCATATAAAATCAATAATTGTAGAGAATAAGAAAACTTAGACTTCTTAGACTTTTTTTAGATCTATTTCAAGGGTGTTTAGTGAAATTATATTCATAATAACTTGTACTCCCTAAATAAAGATATTTGTTAAATGTCACTACCATTAACTTGGAAGAAAGAAAATGTGACAATTTGTGTCTTAAATAATACCACAAACCTCTCCATCTCCAGAATAAAGTCTCAAAAAAAATCTGTTGTATCTCCCTTTGCCTGTTACACTAAGCCAAAATAGGAACTGGAGAGATGGCTCAATGGTTAAGAGCACTTGTTGTTTTTGCAAAAGACCTGGGTTCGAATCCCAGCACCCCTGCTAACAACCATCCATATCTGGAATCTGATGTCCTCTTCTGTCCCCCTCAGGCATTGCATGATACGGGTGCACCTACATACATGTAAGCATATCACTCATAAACAGAAAGAAAGAAGGAAGAAAGAAAGAAGGAAAGAAAGAAAAAGAAAGAGAAAGACAGACCAAAATAGAGCATTGTACTTCAATCTATTTCTTGTCACGAAAAGTTAGGAGAATTTAAAGGTAGGAACATTAATAAATAAAGTAGAAGCATATTCCATACTTTTTGCTTATTAACTTTTTGAGATGACAAGACAGGTTGATAAATATGAGCACAAGGATCATGGTAGTTTATCAGAGGCTAGGCTGGATTGATGGCCTGGTACAATATATACAAACTGATCTTTGTCACCCTTGGTTATTTGCTTTAAGAAAAGCCTTAAAGAGTCATTACTTTAATTATTGATATTAATGCTGCCATTTATTGATAAACACTATGATAGACTAAATGAATGGTTTCTCAGTTAATCCTTAAGGGTGGTTTGAGGTGGTATTACAAGTTACATCCCACAAGGAAACTGACAAAGTGTTGAAATTACTTATAGGATGTATCTGGTAAAAAATGAAATTAAAATTCATCCACTTCTAATGTCAAAGTTCATTCTGTGTGTTTTACTGCTTCCTGGGCAACAGTTAGTCAGACCTGGCCTGATATCATGATCCTTTTAATTCAAGGTAATAGGCTTCTTGGCAAAACAGCAAAATTTTGTCAAAAGCAAGCAGGGGTGGGGGGAGGATGAGGAGAAAGAGAAAAAGGAGAAAGATTATCAAACAGCTATTCAAGTTGGGAGAGAATGGGGAGAGAGGTGGACAGGGAGTAGAGATGGAGAACAGAGAGACTTAGAGATGTTTAGTAATGTAGACACCTTCCAACACAAGCCTGGGAATGATATTTGGCTCTGTTACATCCTTGGTTCTTGCATCTTACAGAACCATGTTTCAAGTCTTTAGAGATCCACCAGTGTTATCTGGTATTTAAAGAAAATGGACCTTTTCTGGCATTATAAGGAAAATGACTAATGGTGAGCTTCATGGACAATTTAGATAATTATCTAAGATATTTTAACTATATTGTTTTTATTAGTTTTGTATGCTTTCTTTTAAAAGCTAAACCCAGAATATAATATAATATAATGTTACCACTTTTGTATCTATGCAGACACATTAGCAGAAGAGAGGGTAAGGTTCATTTTTGAGGATGGTATCACTCCATAATTTTGCAACAAGAAAGATAAAAGCAAAACCATACTTTTTGTGGTATAACTTAGAATAGAAATTAGTATCCTTCTTTTTCAGGCCATTTCTGGCAAAGACGAACACATTTTAGAAGACTGCATGATGTATGCAATTCAAACTGAGCCAAGGCAACAGCGAATGGTAAATATTTTATTCTCAAACTTATACTCCTTCAGAAGATTAGTAGTAGATAGGTTTGGGCTAGTAACTCAAGCTCAGGAATTTATAACTTGAAATTTCTCTTAACTTTTATTACATGTATTTTATAAAAAATAGTAAATATTTGTGTTTAATTCAATTATATAAATTATTAAGTACAAATGGATTGAAATTATTCACATGTAAACAGTTAAGTGTCTATGAAAGATGAGATACCAAAAACAGAGCAAGAATGTTACTAGGTAGTGGAAATTCGGGTTTGCTTCCCTGGTACAGTTAACTCTTGTATAAAGCAATTTATCTATGAGATTGAATTTATTTACTGGCTCATAAATGGTTATAAAATCTGAACAAATAGATTATAATTATATTTATTCAGTGCCATATAAAGTATATCAAAGCATTGAATTTCAACAAGAAGGATTCTTATTGTTATTTACAATTTAGTCAGTTTTATGCAAAAATTGTGTTTAAATGTCTGAAGTCTAAGTTAGGAAACAATAGGTCCACAGATCCCAATGCAAACTGCTTTCTATTGATTTTTTTCCCCTCTACACATTAATTCACTTACTTATTCAAAGAAAAGGCAAGGCAGCTAGCAGGTATTACTTAAAACATGAAAAAAATACATTCATTGATTTTATAGTTTCCATAAGGATATTTATTTGTTAACTTAAAAAAATCTCTTTTCCTTCATTAAAACTGTCTTTGTGCAAATAATGTTGAGTGACTCTATATCCCAGCTACGCCTGTAAGCTCTGAGAGCTGTTAGCGGTCAGCAGCAAAGCACCAGACTGCTCACTGCCATCGTCATTTTGGTTAAAAGGTAGAGGCCAAGGCTTGAGTAAGACAAATAATAGATTAGGAATTCTAGCTGAATTATCAGAAGAACACAAATACATTTACCTTCTTGATGTAGAAATTAGCTTCTATTATATTATTCTGTTTTTAGCTATAATCAACACATATATGTATCAACATACCATTAATGGGGTCAAAACTGAATATCAAGCAGGTTGAGCTCTACCTTAATAACAAATTTAAAGATGAGAATTCATATTTCCAAGAATTCACAGAAAATTACAGCTTTAATAATATTTACTTGCATATTTTAGTTTAATCTTTTCCATGTATACTAGCTCACAAATTCTAAAAGCCTCTTCCTATGTTTTAAAAAGCTATTACAAAATTGCTTTTTCTTTTGTTAGTTCTATGGAATGAAGCTATAAAGGGTATTTCACTTCTATAACATTTTTCATCTCCATTTAATATAAAGTCTTCAAATAAAAGTTTGAAGTAAAGAACATTTGTTACATCTAAGAATATGTTTTCACCAAACAACTCTTATGCCTTCACTCCTAGTATTCTCTCCCTTCCTTTCATGTGTAATGTATGATTTGAAAGGAGAGGAGGAAGAGCGAGAAGGAAGCAAAAAGAAAGAAGAAGGGAAGGGAGGAAGAGGGAAACTGTAGAATTTCTCCTCTGTGTTCTAGGTAGTAAAATCAGCATCTTCTCTTTAAAAGACTGAAACAGTATCCCTCAAATTGTGAATTTCCTGCTTGAACTTATTTGCTCTTCCAAATTTATATCACAGCAAGCAGGTATAAATGTCTCAGTTCAAATGTGTGATATAGGTGTTTTCCCCAGAATAATTCCTTTTGGCACTGTGAACTAATTTATATGCAGGAAACTATACTTTGGAGTAAATCATACTAAAAACATGAGACATTTATTTCAGCATATTTCCTCCTTATATGGGTGTGGTATCATCTACAAAGAGAGAAAGTCTATTTGAGTATACATTTCCTAAGTTTCTTGTACATTATTCATGCACACCTTTAGAAATAGAAGGAACATATACACATGGGCATTCTTTTAGATTTGCGTTCTGAGCGGTATACTCAGCCTCAACTTCAAAGGGTGCTTTTCAGTGGGGGCAGAAAGCTACTCACTGAAGATGGCAGAAAGAGAGTTCTAAGGTCCATTGGAAAGTAATTCACCATTCTATGAATTAGGCCTATAATAAATTCCCTAAAATAATTTGAATTATTTTAACATTTGAGAAGTTTCAAGCTAGCTTTGCTCTGTGCATTTCATAAATTTTTTGACATATGAAAATAGCTTACTAGTCAATTTTGGCAGGGTTCATTTAACTTATGTATTTTTTTACTTATATAAATATGGTTTGTAGTTCTTGTGAGGATGAGTAGCTGATTGAGACCTATAACCTAGTTAATGTGCACTGAAGATTCTGTGATTATTTCACAAACATTTAATCATAAAAATGAGGATAAGGCTCTCCTCCTCTACTATAATTGAAACTGATTAGTGGCATAAATCTTTTTGAAGAACATTTATGAAAAAGCTAATAACATGAGTGCTAAATGCTTCTGTAATTTAAGAATAGGAATGTTTTGCTTGGATCTATACAGTTTTGATAATGCATGGAGTATCAGAAATAAAACAAAGTCAATTTTAAAGTAACCTATTCCTTCATCCCACTTCTGTGTATATCGTGGACTCACATTTGATATCTCAGGAAAACTTTGATTGACATTATTAATTAAGTGCTTGTGAAGTAGTCTGTCATTATTAGAATCACTTACAGCAAATGCAGGAATTTTAAGGCTCTTTTACATTTAATAAACTGTAGTTGAGCAACTTAGAATATGGGGTCCCAGTGTGAAGAACACTTGTCTAATTCTGCAGCACAGCATCAGAGTTTTTTATATTATCTTTGTTGCTGTTTTTGCTTCATTTTTGATATACAAACAAATTAGTAGAAATTCAACTGGACTAGAACAAAAAGCATTAGAACTTCCTATTTTGAAATTTATAGTTTGATTGGTGTTTATTTATCAGTTGCAAGATGATTAAAAATGGCTTAGTCATTTTCTTAAGTGGAGCCATGGATATGGCACTCACGAAACAATGGCATTACCTGTAAAATTAAGGACAGGTCTAACATTTAGGGGATAGGTAGTCTGCAGTTAAAAACATTTAAACTTTATAGTATATGTTTTAGAAAAAGTCTCTCCTCTCTCTATTAAGGGAGATATAGGAGAAAAGAGTTGGAAATAAATGCCTGCCCGGATAAAGTCAAATGTTTTGTGCCTGAGCTATTCTTTCATGGGAAGCCTTTAAGGAACTGTGTCAATGCATGAAAATTGCCATTCACAAATTGTGAGATTTTAAAACCCTTTAAAAATAAAATATGCAAATTAAATTAAATTAAAAATGTACTTAAATAAAAAAAATAAGAGTACAATCAAATAATTCAATTTTTTTGTGTTTGTCAGTGGTCACAATAAGGACATATTTTAGCTATTCTCTTTTCCTTATATTAACATTTAGACACATTAAGAAGTTTTACCTTTTCTGCATGATTTTTAATAGCTTTGTATTCCATTAATTATTTTGAACAGAATGCATTATATTCCAGGAAAAGCTTTGAATTAATCTCCTTAAATATTTTTGAGAATTTCCTACAATGTATTTTGATTACATTCAGACCCCTTCCCCATCGCCACCTTAATACGCTGCAACTTCATATTGCCTATTATTATTTTCTTTTCAAAAGGCTGTTGAATCTAATTTGTGTTCCCCAAATATACTTGGTTGTGGATCCATCCCTTGGAACCTGGTCAACCCACCAGGTGTCACACCATTCAAGGAAACTGATTCTCCCTCTCCCAGCAGCTATTAACTGCCAAAAAAATCATCAGCCAGGGCCCAGGGTTCTGCACCGTCTTCTCTATCTATACTAGATTTTGTCTGGTTGGGCTTGCTCAGGTCTTTTGCATGCTGTCACAAGTGCTGTGAGGTCATATGTGCAACTTCCTTCTTGTGTACAGATAACATAATTTCCTTATATACATCCACCACCTCTGGCTTTAAATCTTTCTACTCCTCTTCCACAATGATCCCTGAGCCTTGAGAAGAGAGGGTGTGATATAGGTTTACCAGTTAGGGCTAAGCACTTCACATTCGCTTAACACAGAAACTCATACTGATCAATGTGCAGTGAATTAATCGTCTTTTAAAATAATAGCTAGGCGGATGGCTCTGAGGGTAAAAGTGCTTGCCAATAAGGCTGTTGACTTGAGTTCTTTCCTCAGGACCCACATGTTAGAAGGAGCAAACTGATACCTGAAAGTTGTCCTCTGACTTCTAATATGCAGTGTGGCGTGCACATACCCCCCCTCAATTCACATATAAATAAATAAATATAAAAACAACAACAAAATCAATATAATATATGGGGTATAAAGATCTTGATACCTATTGTTCAGGCTAACCTGGAATATGTTAATGTTTAAGAACTGTGGAAATGGGCATCAGGTCCCAATCTTAGTCAAAGAATTATTGGCAGCTGCTTACTGCTGGGTGAGGAAGAGCTGATCATCTTAAAGGGAGGGACTCTAGATAGGCTGACTAAACCTCAGTGAATGAACTTGCACTGAGGGATGTCTGGGGACACTAACTTGACTCAATAGACCTTACCACAAATGACATAATGCATGAAATCCAGTTGGGGGGCTCTGAGAAGGTGCCAATGGGGAAGGGGGTATTAAGATGATTAAGATGTTCTATATGAAATACACAAAAATTCAATAAAAAATTTTACAAAAAGATTAATAAGGTGAAGAACAAAATTTAAAACTATCTTAGATTAATTGGTCACTGTGGGTTAGGGACCCTACTGGGACCTCTAATGGGCATTATCTCTTGGATTCTTTTAATAACCCTGTACATGAAGCCATAGTCTAACCATTTTTTTTTCTGTATGAGAAAACTGGCTTGGATATCTTCCAAACTACAGACTGAGATGAGTCTCAGAGACAGGAGGAGTGTGATAAACATTGCTAAATAACCCAAAAGCTTTTTTTATATTTAGATACAGATATATTTAGATATGGAAATGAATTTGAATACTCTTTTAACTTTAAAAGAAGAAAAAAGATGATTTTCAAGACTTGACT